ACTTTTTGAACTAGTAGCCCAATCTTGGAACTGTTTGAAATTATGGATTCTACAGGCCACGTTCTATAAGAAAAATTTTTTCCCAGGACAATCTTAGAGAATTTTTTTTTGAGGCAAAAGAAAAGGCAGTATACAGACTTCTCAATCAAAAGTTATAGACTAGAAATGATGAGTCCCCTTATCAAACATTTGTTAAATAATTCTCGTATAGACACAAGAATTTCTCTACTCACAAGTTTATTAATTTCTACGTCTCAAATTACAAAAAGCAATTTAAAACCTACTAAAGTATTTTTAATTTTACAGTAAAAGTACAATGACAACTAAAATTAAAAAACCCCATTGATTATGTACCTGTTTGTAACAAAATTCCACCAGATTTCCAGATATCCTGATCACATTGAATAATGTTAAATACGGGGTGTTTAAAACGAAAATTACGCTACTTATGCGCTTTCTTTAGCAACCCAGGAAGGCATACCCTTATTGTTGGCATTGTTTCAACCTAAATGGCAAACCCCCCTTGATGGTATACATAGAATTATTCGTAATTTATTTTTATGGAATCGAAGCTGAAGGCAACGGAGATTTATTACTTTATTGCCTCTATTCTTCTAAGTATGTGCATTACGTATCCACATATTAATTCAATTATCAATATAAAGTTATACTCTCATTAATGTAAAATGCATGTAAGGAAACACCTAGCAATGTTCTTACAGCAAGTGGTAATTAATTACTCTTGAAATTAATGTTGCCTTAATAAAGAACGAGAGAGGTGAATCGTTCAGATCCAAACAGGTCTAGAGGGAATCAAAGTGAGTAATAGAAAATTGATAGCAAACTTAATTAAAACAGGGGTAAAATTGTATTAGCTAGTACCTGCACTTTTATATTTACAGTCCCAGTGCGATTTTAAGATAAATCGTAAAATCAATTGCGAATGAACATAAATGTGTAGGTACTTAGTGGTCGAAATTTGCAATTCATAAATTCGTTGTAGCACTTAGCAGGTAGGTCACCACTCGCCAGTGGCGTGTCAAGACATTAATGATTGATTAGGTTTGCGGAACGAGGGTCGATATTACGAGGGATGCAAGAGTTACACCCCCAATTATTTTTCTGCATTCGCCGCATTTAAATGAAAGAAGTGTGTAAAGTAAGAAGCATGAGATTGCAACGCGTAGCCAAAACGAGAATTTATGCGCCGCGTTCTCCGTTTATTGCTGCGGCGCGGTAACGAGCGGTAACCGCAAAACCGCAAATTGAAAATAATGTCGTCGTTTTTGCGGTTTCACTTATATACAAGTTTTAGAGGGGGAAAGAACCCAAAAAAGTATTAAAAGTTGAAAGCCGGGAGTAAAATGTTGACTCGCTTATTGTTTTTGACGTTCCTTTCCACGTTTTATTTATTTAGATTTAATGCTACATAATAAATGGCCAAGTCGTCGGCCATTTTATTGCTCCCTCTTTTTTCTAGTTAATGAATTTATAAGAAAACTTTGAGGAATGTTTAAATGAACCCCGACTCAGATTTATATAACATCTTGCAATTAAATGCCTCTTTTTTAGCTACGAGTTTGCTTTGTAGACATACTTTTATTACACACGCGTTCAGACCAACATGCAATAATTTGCACAAAAAACTAGTTCAAGTTAAAAGTCAACGAGTTGTTTAACCCCGTGCTACAATAAAACGTAATTTGTTACTCTTCAATCATTCATCGCACTGAACTAAAAACAAAGTAATGTTTTATCCTCTTTTAATTCAAAGTAATCTAAATAAGATTATTCATAGTCATACGTAGGTTTGATGAACAAACTTCAAAGAATTATTTTGAAAATATAGTCGGAAAATATCATTCATATTTCTATGTATCTATTTTTAAAACCTGTGCCTATTTTTGTTTTGAAAAAAACCAAATAAATATAAAGAAGTCGCATTCTAAGAAAAAGATTCAATGGGCTGTTTTCAAAAAATTTGGATAAACTTTGTACATCGCGAATTTCACTTGTCAGTGGGGTAGGTGTAGTCTCGGGGGTGATAGATTAGACGGATTATGTCATCCTCAACCCGGAAGTCGGACTTTAAAGCTAGTTTGATGACAACATTTCATAAATAAGCCTTGAATTTTAAAGAATACTTGAACTATCGTCTTCACGCTTTTCATGTAAATATGTTTTTGAGCCAATTAAATGAAAAATTATCAAAATCTAAGGAGAAAAATCTACTTTTTGTTGGTGATGTCAATCTCTGCATTCAAGTCAACCTTTACTCAAACAAAAAAATTAGGAGTTAAGTTGCTGAAGCCATGAATGACTTTTGAGCTTTGTGAGAGACTAAAACATAGAAATCTGTTGTATAAAAAATTAAAGAAAAATCCTGAAAATTTAAAATTAAAACAGTGCTTTCAGTCAGTCTCCTTAAAGCTGAAACAAAATATTCAAACTCAAAAAAGCAACTATTATTTCAAACTTTTTGAAACCAACAAGGGTGACACCAAAAAACAATGGCAAACTGTAAATGCCATCTTAGGTTAAAGAAATGAAAAAAAGAGCATTGACTGTATTATGATAAATTAAACTCCAAACATATTGATATACCTATGACAACCTAGAAATTGCAGAAGAATTCAATCAATTTTTCACCACTGTTGTAGGCAGGCTTTTGAAAAATCTTGGCTCAATTGATGGTTTTAATATGTGCGCATACAGAGGGACTTTCCCTTCAATACATGTCAGTAACTCTTTCTTTCTCATGCCCACCTGTAAATTTGAAGTCTCCGATATTATAAATAATTTAAATGTCAATATATGTAAATATTGATGGAATCTCATCCCGAACCATCAAAATGTCCAAAAAGTATATTAGTTCAGTACTCTCGTATATTTTTAATCTACGTTTTGAAACAGGGGAATTCCCTTCCAAATTAAAGACAGCTGTTGTAATTCCGTTACATAAAAAAGCAGATTCTATAGAGTTGAACAATTATAGGCCCATTTCACTGCTATCCGTCTTTGCGAAAATATTGGAAGAGCCAGTTAAATCTAGGCTGCTTCAGTTTTTAAATTCAGAAAATTGTTTAAGTTCAAACCAATATGGAATTCTTGGGAAAAAAATTACCGAGGACGCCTTACTATCGTTTTGTACCAAAATATACAATGGAATCAATTCAAAATTAAATACGGCTGGTTTGTTTATCGCTATTACCAAGGTATTCGACTCTGTTGATCATAATATCTTTTAGCTAAACTGGAGGATGTAGGAATTCGAGGTGTTGCCAAAACTTGGTTTAAAAGTTTTTTAACTGAAAGAAATCAATGTGTAAAAATAAAAAACGAAACAAGTTCTCTTCTGCCGATCTCGTCGGGAGTACCGCAAGGTTCAGTCCTTGCACCAACATTATTTATTTTATACATAGATGAATTGTGTTTGGGGAATTTTCAGGGTACAGTGACTTGCTTTGCAGATGACACTGCGTTAAGCTATTCGTAACTTTAGTACACTAAAAAGTAATATTCAATCAGATCTGAACAAACTAAAAACATGGTTCACTGTAAATAAGCTAGCATTAAGTTCCAAAACCAAACTGGTCTATTTCTTGCTACGACACAAAGAGCATATAAATGAGGATGTATATTTTAAATGCAAAAAATGTTTGAGTGGAACCGACCGATGATATTTGCAATAATTGTGTATTAATTGAACAGGTAGAGAAAATAAAATACTTAGGTTTAATCCTAGACAAGAATTGCCTCTGGAAGGAACATATACAATCAGTTAAAAAATATGCTTATATGTCACTAAGGAAATTTTACCTCCTAAAGTTTGTCTGTCCAATGCAAGTATTAAAATCTGTTTATTTCGCATTGATAAACAGCAAACTGGAATATGGGCTAAGCTGCTGGGGGGGAGTATATAAATCATTAATAAAACCACTTCTTATACCTATCTCAAAAGAGAGTTATAAGACAAATTTTTCATATCAGAAGAAATGAGCATTCATTTCCTTATTTTACATTGCTGCGGGCACTCCCCATCAGACATTTGTATGTATATAGAGTCCCGCGCATTTTTTATATGAGAGGCGGCCAAAAAACGGCAAATGAGGAGGTTCACTCGGCAAGACTGAGGAAACTAAATCGTGTAGCACTTTTAAAACCCACGTGTGAGGCATTTAAAAGATCTTACAGTTACACCACTTTATCGTTTTTCAATAAGCTGCCTCTTGAAGTTATTAACGCAAACATCTTGACCAAGTTCTCAAAGAATTTAAAAAATTGGCTGTTTACATTAAATTTTGATGAAAATAGAAAAACTTTTTACTAAAAATTGATTTCCACTACCTCACTTAAAAAGCACTTATGAATTAA